CCTCACACCAATCAGAATGGCTAAAATTAACAGGTCAGGAAAGGACAGATGTTGGCGTTGATGTGGAGAAAGGGGAACCCTCCTACACTGTTGGTGGGAATGCAAGCTGGTGCAGCCACTCTGGAAAACTGTATGGATGTTCTTCAAAAATTTGAAAATAGAGCTACCATATGATCCAGCAATTGCACTACTGGGTATTTACCCCAAAGATACAAATGTAGGTATCTGAAAGGGTACGTGCACCCTGATGTTTATAGCAGCAATGTCCACAATAGCCAAATATGGAAAGAGCCAAGATGTCCATCGACAGATGAATGGATAAAGAAGAGGTGGTATATATATACAATGGAATATTATGCAGCCATCAAAGGAATGAGATCTCGCCATTTGCTATGACTGGATGGAACTGGAGGTTGTTATGCTGAGTGAAATAAGCCAATTATAGTAGGACATGTATCATATGACCTCACTGATATGAGGAATTCTTAATCTCAGGAAACACACTGAGGGTTGCTGGAGTGGGGTGTGGGGTGGGAGAGAGGGGGTGACTGGGTAATAGACACTGGGGAGGGTATGTGCTCTGGTAAGCGCTGTGAATTGTGCAAGACTGTTGAATCTCAGATCTGTACCTCTGAAACAAATAATGCAATATATGTAAAAAAAAAAAAAGAAGAAGAAGAAGGTAGCGGGAGGGGAAGAATGAAGCGGGGGAAATCGGAGGGGTAGACGAACCATGAGAGACGATGGACTCTGAAAAACAAACTGAGGGTTCTAGAGGGGAGGGGGGTGGGAGGATGGGTTAGCCTGGTGATGGGTATTGAGGAGGGCACATTCTGCATGGAGCACTGGGAGTTATGCACAAACAATGAATCATGGAACCCTACATCTAAAACTAATGATGTAATGTATGGTGATTAACATAACAATAAAAAATTTTTAAAAAAGAACTGAATGCTTGAATGTCACCATTCCTAATGAGTGTTCATGATGACCTGGAAAAAGCAGGTAATATAGGTGAGAGAGGTATTATGTTTATGAATATATTTTATGATGAGGCCTAAATATCTCCTTTAATTTAACAATACCTTAATCTATTTTTGTTTTATAAACCTAATCTCATGTGCTTGACTTAAATGATTTTGTCAGATGATGAAATTATTTTTACATTCTATTATTATTATTTTTTAAATATTTTTTTTGTTTTTATTTGACAGAGAGAGAGGCAGTGAGAGACGGAACACAGGCAGGGGGAGTGGAGAGGGAGAAACAGGCTTCCTGTGGAGCAGGGAGCCAAATGCAGGGCTCGATCCCAGGAGCCTGGGATCATGACCAGAGCCGAAGGTGGACACTTAAGGACTGAGCCACCCAGGCGCCCCTGTACTCTATTATTGAGAAAGTAATTTTAAACCTAAAATACTATAACCAGAAAAAAATTTATTTTTGGACTTTTGTGTTATTTAATTGTCTTCTTTTTCTCTTTTCCTTTCCCCTTCTTATTTTTTCTTTTCTTTTTAAACTTAATATTTTATTATTTAGTATTTATTATGTTAGTAGTAGTAGTATTTCTTTCTGTAAAAAGCCATAGTACAAAAGAGCAATTAGCATATGCAGCCATAGCTCCAGTGAGCTAGCAAAATTCAGCAATTACATAGAAGCCGCACAGGGGACACCACACACAAGACCATTCCTTCAGGTTTAGAAGACGTAGCTATTCACCTAACTCATAGAATCAAACACAAAAACACAAACAAAACTGGGAGACAGAAGAATAATATATACCAATAGAAAATAAAAACAAGGAAAAAAACAGAAAAAGAAGTAAGTTAAACAGAGATAAAAAATATGCCTAATGAAGAATTTAAAGCCATGATCACAAAGATCCTCACCAGGCTGGGGAAAAGGGTGGAATAAATCAGTGAATACTTCATTAAAGATATAGAAAATCTAAAAAAGGAAGCAGAGTCGTAGGATACAATGGGAATAAAAATCACAATAGAAAGAATCAACAGTTGATTAATGGATGAGAAGAACATGTCAGCGATTTGAAGACAGATTAATGGAAAGCAAACAAGTTGAACAAAAAGAAAAGAATTTTAAAAATGATGATGGAGGCACCTGTGTTGCTCAGTCAGTTAAGCGTCTGCCTTTGGCTCATGCCCAGGACCCTGGGATCAAGCCCCACGTCAGGCTCCCTACTCAGCAGGTAGTCTGCTTCTCTCTCTCCCTCTGCCTACCACCATTCATGCTCTCTCTCTCTCACTCACTCTGTTATTTCTCTCTCAAAATAAATAAAATATTTTTAAAAATAAAATAAAAATGAGGATAAGTTAAGAGATTTCTTGGACCTCATCAAACAATCCAAACATTGGCATTATAGGGAATCCAAAAGAAGAAGAGAAACAGATGTAGAAATTTTATTTAAATAAATAATAAATGAAAACTTCTCTTACCTAGGGAAAGAAATAAATATCCAAGTCCAAGGAGCACAGAGACTCCAAACAATAGAAATGCAAAGTGGTCCACATGAGGACACAAAATAAATAGAATATCAAAAAATAAAGAAAAATTGAGAATCATAAACACACCATAAGAGAAACAAGTTACCAACAAGGGAAAATCTGTGAACATATCAGCTGAGGTGTCAGCAGAAAATTTATAGGCTAGCAGACAGTGGTGTGATATATTCAAAGTGCTGAAAGGGAAAATCTACAATCAAGAATGGTCTACTTGACAAGGTTTTCATTCAGATTTGAAAGAGAGAAAAACCCCACAAGCAAGAAATTATGCAAGCAGCCCAGCAGTGGCCAGCACCACTCCAAAGTGACTCTTTCCCTAGGGAGATTGGAATTAAACATGCACAGCAGTTTGACTATAGCCTGAACAATGGGCAGGGGACAGATATCTGATCTGACTGCAGGCTCCACCCACCAACAAGAGCCAATCAGGGACAACACAGGAAGAGCACTCTGTAGTTCCATCTGGCTGCAGCTCTGCCAAACATCTGATCTGATCCAACTCAAGCACAAATGGCCTCAGACTATCCATTTAATAACACGGGCACCAAACCATGCCCACAAAAGGCAACAAAAGCCATTGCAGATGATAGGACTGAAAGTAAATCCAGTTCAGTGACATGGCATATTCAGCACACATAGAAGACACCTATGAAGTGACAAATTCTGGTGAACAGTGGACATTGCACTGTAAGAGACTACAAAATCTCTTCTTCATAATGTCATTACCCTCAAGAACAGGAGATGTATCTGACTTTCCTAACACACAGTAACAGGCACAGAAAATCAGGCAAAATGAAGAGACAGAGAAATTTATCCAAAATGAAACAGGACATAGTCATGGCAAGAGATCTAAGTAAAATAAATATAAGTAACATACCTGATAGGGTATTTAAAGCAATGATCTTAAGGATAAACTGTGGACTTGAGAAAAGAGTAGAAGACATGAGTGAGAACCTTCACACAGAAATAAGGAATTAACAGCAGAGATAAGTGGCTCAATAAATGAAACGAGAAACTTGAATGATGGAATGAAAAGCAGCAGGCTGGAGGAGGAGAGGAATGAATTAATGACCTAGAAGATGGAGTGATGTAAAGTAATCAAGGTGAACAGAAGAGAAAAAATAATTATGCAAAATGAGAATAGACTTAGGTGATTCAGTGACTCTATCAAATGTAATAACATTCATATTATAGAAGTCTAGAAGAAGAAGAAAGAGAAAAGGGACAGAAAATTTATTTGAAGGTATAATAGCTGAAAACTTCTATAAGCTGGGGAAAGAAACAGATACCCAGATCCAGGAGGCAAAGAGAACCCCCATAAAAATCAACAAAAGCAGATCCACATCAAGACACATTTTAATTAAATATGCAAAATATATGGATTTTAAAAAAAAGCAGCAACCAAAAGAAAACAGTAACATACAAGGGAAACTCTGTAAAGCTAGCAGGGGAGTTTTCAACAGAAACTTTGCAAAACAGAAGGGAGTGCCATGATATATTAAAAAGTGCTGAAAGGGGAAAATCTGCAGCCAAGAATACTCTATCCAGCAAGGCTATGATTTGGAATAGAAGAGATAAAGTGTTTCCCAGACAAGAGAAAAACAAAAACACTGAAGAAATTCAAGACTACTATTTCACCCCTGGAAGACATATTAAAGGGAACTCTTTGAGTGAAAAGGAAAGAACAAAAGTGAAAATATGAATAAGGAAACACAAAAGCAGTGAAAATGAATATTTCTGTAAAAAAATCAGTTAAGGAACTCACAAAATTAAAGGATATGCAATATGACAATATATACCTAAAATAAGGGGAGGGGTAAAGAATGAGTTCAAAGTAAAAAAGTCATCAACCTAATACTGACTGCTACATGTAGAAGTGGTTCTATACAAACCTAATGGTAACCATATATCAAAAAACATTAATTAATATGCATATAATAAAGAGAAAGAAATGCAAACATATCACTAAAGAAAATCAGCAAACCATGAAAGAGAGAAAGACAAGGAAGAATCAGAGAAATTCTTTACAAACAATCACAAAATAAGAAATGAAAATAAATATATATCAATAATTACTTTGAATGTAAATGGGCTACGTGCTCCAATCACAAGATGACAGAATGGATTAAAAAAAAAAAAAGACTCATGTACGTGCTGCCTACAAGAGATTCTCATTTCAGACCTCAATACACATTCAGATTGAAGTGAGGGGTGGAGAAATATCTATCATGGAAATTAGTGTCAAAAGAAAGCCAGAGTATCAATACTTATGTCAGATTTAATATACTTTAAAACGAAGATGGTAATAAGAGACAAAGAAGAATACCATATAATACTAAAAGGAACAATTCAACAAGAAGATATAAAAATGTTAAAGTTTTTGTACCCAAACATAGGAACACTCAAATACATAAAACAAATAAATATAAGACCACTGGGCTCGCCGCCACTTTCTGCTGCTTGCTGTTCCACGTCATGTGACCTATGTCACCCTACACCATCGTCTACTTCACCACCCGAGGGCGCTGCAAGGCCATGCGCATGCTGCTGGCTGACCAGGGCCAGAGCTGGAAGGAGGAGGTGGTGACCAAGGAGAGCTGACTGCAGGGCCCGCTCAAGACCTCCTGTCTGCGTGGGCATCTCCCCAAGTTCCAGGATGGAGACCTCACCATGTACCAGTCCAATGCCATCCTGCGACACCTGGGCTGTACCTTTGGGCTCTATGGCAAAGACCAGTGGGAGGCGGTGCTGGTGGACATGGTGAAAGATGGCATGGAGGATGTCCACAGGCACTGCAGCCAGCTCATTTACCGGACCAATGAGGAGGGTAAGGCCAAGTATTTTCAGGAGATGCCAGGGCACCTGAAGTCTTTTGAGACCCTGCTGATCCAGAACAAGGAGGGCAAGGCCTTCCTTGTGGGCGACCAGATCTCCTTCACCAACTACAACCTGTTGGGCCTGTTGCTGAATCACCAGGTCCTGGCCCCTGGTTGCTTGGACTCCCACCCCCTGCTCTTGGCCTATGTGGCATGCCTCAGCAACGGGCCCAAGCTCAAGGCCTACCTGGCCTTCCCCAGCATGTGAACCGCCCTGTCCATGAAACCCAAAAGATATGAGCCCCTTCAGCCTCCCCTGGGAGAAAGGCTGCCCTTTAGAACCAATAAACACCTAGAGAGGAAAAAAAAAATACATAAAACAGCTAATAACAAACATAAAGAAACTAATTGACAATAAACAAAAATACTAGTTTACACCCCATTTACATCAATGGAGAGGTTATCTAAACAGAAAATCAACAAGGAAACAATAACTTTTAATGACATACTGGGCCAGATGTACTTTACAAAGATATTCATAACATTCCATCTTAAAAGAGCAGAATATACATTCTTTTCAAGTGAACACAGAACATTTTCCAGAAGAGATCACATAGTAGATCATGAAACAAGCCTCACGAATTCAAAAAGATTGAGGTCATACCGTGCATCTTTTCTGACCATTACCACAAGAAATAAATCTGGAAAGACCACAAATATATGGAGATTAAATAACCTGCTCCTAAACAAGAATGGGTCAAACAGGAAATCAAAGAAGAAATGAAAATGTACATGGGAACAAATGAAAATGAAACACAATGGTCAAAAACCTTTGGGATACAGAAAAAACAGTTCTAAGAAGGAAATCTACAGCAATATAGGCCAACTTCAAGAAGCAAGAAAAATAAATAAACAAGCTGATCTTGCACTTAAAGGAGCTAGAAAAAGGGGCACCTGGGTGGGTCAGTTGGTTAAACATCTGCCTTCAGCTCAGGTCATGATCCCAGAGTCCTGGGATCGAGCCCCACATTGGGCTCCTTGCTCAGCAGGGAGCCTGCTTCTCCCTCTGCCTGCAGTTCCTGCTTGTTCTTCCTCTCTCTGACAAATAAATAAATAAATAAAATCTTTAAAGAAAAGAAGCTAGAAAAAGAAAAAGAAACAAAACATAAATCCAGAAGAAGGAAGAAAATAGTAAACATTAGAGCAGAAATAAATGATATAGAGGCTAAAAATAAAATAAAACAATAAAAGAGATCAATGAAACTAAGAGGCTTTTTTATGAAAATATCAATGGAAGTGATAACTTTTTTTAAATGATTGGACTCATTAAAACAAGAGAGAGATACAAAGACAGAGAAACAGAGAGAGATAACTCAAATAAACCAAATCAGAATGAAAAAAGAGAAACAACAATCATCACCAGAGAAATACAAAAGCTCATTAGAATGCATATTTCATATGCCATATAATTGGATAGCATAAAAGAAAGGGATAAATCCTAGAGACATATAAACTCCTAAAACTAAATAAGGAAGAAATAGAATATGTTAACAGACTGGTTAACAGCAACAAAATAGAATCAGTAATCAAAAAACTGCCAAAACTACCCAGTGCTCATCACAACATGTGCAGCAATTAATGAATCACTGACCACTACATCCAAAATAATGATGTACTATATGCTGGCTAACTGAACATAATAAAAAAAATAGAATCATTAAGTCACTAAGATTAGTCACTTCAATGCTCTATACACCTACTGTCCAATTGCTTTTTCCTCAGCATTGTATGAACTTCTATGTCTTACTATGTTTGGGACACATTAATTATTATTTATGTTTAATAAATATTTGAATGACTAAAAAAAGCAGAAGTAAAAAAAAAAAAACTACCAATGAACAAAAGATGAGGAACAAATGATTTCACAGGTGAATTCAGGTGAATTAAAGAAGATTTATACCACTATTTCTCAAAATAGTCCAGAAATTACAAAATGAAGAAAAGCTCCAAATTCATTGTATGAGTACAGCATTACCTTGATACCTAAACCCAATAAAAACACTACAAAAATAATAAATAAATTACAAGGAAATATCTGCAATAACCAAAGATGTAAAAATCACCAAAAAAAAATAGGCAAACCAAATCCAACAACACATAAAAAAATTAACCACAATCAAGTGAAATTTATTCCCAAGATGCAGGGGTGGTTTCATATTTGCAAATCAATCAACATGGTGGGTCACATCAACAATTTAAAGGATAAAACCATACAGTTATTTCAATAGGTGCAGAAAAAGCATCTGAGAAAGTACAACATCCATTCATGATAAAAAGCCTCACATAGGGGTGTCTGGGTGGCTCAATCGGTTAAGCATCTAACTCTTGATTTTGGCACAGGTCATGATCTCATGGTTGTGAGATCGAATTCCATGTCAGGCTCCACACTGGGCATGGAGTCTGCTTGGGATTCTCTTTCTCTCCCTCTTACTTTCTTTACCCTCACCCCTCTCCAGCCTGTGCTTTCCCCCTCTCTCTCTCACTCTCAAAAAAAAAAAAAAGCCTCAATTAAGGAGGCTTACAGGGGACATATCTGAACACAATAAAGGCCATATATGAAAACCCCACAGCTAACAAAAGGTAGATGTCCACTTTCACCACTTTCATTCAAAATAGTACTGAAAGTCCTAGCCACAGTAACCAGACCAGAAATATCAGTAAATTATGCCTAAATTGGTAAGAAGTCAAATTTTCAGTATTTGCAGGTGACATGATACTATATATAGAAAAACCTAAAGACTCCATAAAAAATAAATCAATAAATAAAAGAACTAATAAGTGAATTCAGTATAGTTGCAGGATACAATATCAATATACAGAAATCTGTTGCATTTCTATACACTAATAATGAAATAGCAGAAAGAGAAATGAAGAAAACTATCCCATTTACAATTGTATCAAAAAGTATAAAATAACCTAGGAATAAATTTAACCAAGGAGACAAAGGACGTGTACTCTGAAAACTATATAGCATGGTTAAGATAAACTGAAGATGACACAAAGAAATGAAAAGACATTCCACGTTCATGAATTGGAAGAACAAATATTGTTAAAATAGCAATACTACCAAAAGCAACATACAGCTTTAATGCAATCCCTATCAAAGTCCAACAGCAGTTTCCAAATAACTAGAACAAATAATTCCAAAATTTGTATGGAACCACAAAAAACCTGGGATAGACAAGACAATCTTAAAAAAAAAAAAGAAAACTGGACATATCATAATCCCAGCTTTCAAGATATTCTACAAATCTGTAGTAATCCAAACAGTACTTTACTCACACAAAATAGCTAAGTAGATCAATGGAACAGAATCAAGAGCCCATAAATAAGCTCACAATTATTTGATCAATTAATATAAGACAAAGAAGGAAATAATATGTAATGGGGAAAAATCTCTCCAACAAATGGTATTGGAAAAAATGGACAGCTACAAGCAAAAGAATAAACCTGGAATATTTTCTTACACAATGCACAAAAATAAACTCAAAAGGGACTAAAGACTTAAATGTGAAATTTGAAATTATTGAAAGTGCTACCCACTTATAATGTTATATATGAAGCTGATGGTAAGCATAAACCCAAAACCTATGATAGGAACAGAAAAAGTAAAGAGAAAGAAAGGAAAGCATAACATTATGAAAACTCATTGATCACAAAGAAAGAAAGAGAATAAAGAAACTGAGAAAAACTTAAAACATCCAGAAAACAACCAAATGGCATTAAGTACATAACTATCAATAATTAAATGAAAATGGCTTAAATGCTCCAATCAAAAGACATAGGGTGAGAGGAATGGGCAACAAAGAAGGCCCACCTACATGCTGATAACAAGATACCTCAGGCCTAGTGACTTACACATGCTCAAAGTGAAGGGATGGAAAACATTCACCATGCAAATGGAACTGAAAAAAGGAATGGGGGTAGCAATATTTATATTAGACAAAATAAACTTTAAAACAAAGACTGTAACAAGAGACAAAGAAAGGCATTACATAATGATAAAGATATGGATACATCATAATTGTACAATTGTTACATAACAATTAGAAATATCTATACTCCCAACTCTGGAGCACCTAAAAACAGAAAGCAATATTAAAGGTCATCAAGAGAGAACTTGATGGTAATACAGTAATAGTAAGAGACTGTAACACCCACTAAATGAATGGATCAATCATCCAGGCAGAAAAACAAGGAAATAATGTTTTTGAGTAGGACATTGAACTAGAAGAACCTAATAGGTATATACCCAACACTCCATCCAAAAACAACATAATGCACATTCTTTTCATGAGCACATGGAACATTCTTCAGAATAGATCACATATTAGGCCACAAAATAAGCTTCAATATATTTAAGATTATTGAAATCATACCATGCACCTTTTCACAACAGAAGAGTATGAAACTACAGGGAAGAGTTAAGATGGTGGAGGAGTAGGAGACCTTAATTTCATCTGGTGCTGGAATTCGGCTAGTTATCAAATCATTCTGAACACATGCAAAAATAACTGGAGATATGAGGAAAGAATTGCTGCAATTCTACAAATAAAAAAGTGACCGTGTTTTGCAAGAATAGGAGGTGCAGAGATGTGATTCTGAGACGATATATCGGAAGATAAACCATGGGGTATGGATTCTCTGTAAGCCAGGTCCTGGAAAGTATTATAAGCAATGGAACACAAAATCAGAACTTTTAGAAATCTGCCTGAAAGGTGCTCAGGAGAGGAAACAGGGTGGAATCCCAGGTGGGACAGCATGGTCTCAGGATCCCCAGAGTAACAAAAGGAATGTGGGTGCCTGAGTGTAGCAGTTTCCAAGCATTGGAGCAGGGAAGCTGGGTGCAAACAGCAAGCCCAGGCACCTACTTTCTGCTTGGTGTTGCCATAAACCAGGAACCACTGAATTGTCAGGCTGCTGTCTGATCAGGGGCCCAGTAAGAAGCAGAACCACCATGTGACCCTCCTCCCTCTGCCTAGAAGAACAGCACAGACACACACCACAGCAGTCTGTAAAGTATGGAGACTCAAAACAGGGGCCTGTGCCTAAGATAAAAATGCTCATTCACAGGCTGGGTGAACACAGAGTTTGGACAGAAACCAGGGAGACGAGTGATTGCTAATATATGGGGGCTCACTGAAGAGTGGTGGGCATGAACTTTCAGCTCTAGTGCTAGAGATCAGTTTTCACCCCCCACATTGGCTCCAGAGCTGCTGATACTGAGCCCAGCCCCCTGGCAAGGGTGGTCAAATTCCACCTGGGGAAAGACACCTGAGAATGAGCACAACCGGACCTTCCCCCA